AACCCCCCTGCCATGGGCAGGGACACCTTCCACTAGACCAGGTTGCTCAAAGCCTCATCCAGCCTGGCCTTGAACACTTCCAGGGATGGGGCATCCACAGCTTCTCTGGGCAACCTGTTCCAGTGCCTCACCACCCTCTCCGTGAAGAACTCCTTCCTGATATCCAGGCTAAACCTCCCCGCTTTCAATTTAAACCCATTACCCCTTGTCCTATCACTACAGGCCCTTGTAAAAAGTCCCCTCCCAGCTTCCTTGTAGGCCCCTTCAGGTACTGGAAAGCTGCAATGAGGTCTCCTCGGAGCCTTCTCTTCTCCAGGCTGAACAAGCCCAATTCTTGCAGCCTTTCATCATAGGAGAGGTGCTCCAGCCCTCTGAGCATCTTCGTGGCCCTCAGTGTTTCTGCTCATTCGGTCTCTGGAGTAGGCAACTTCAACCGATTTTTAAAATGTCCTTCCTTGTTACAAAAGATGCTGTACAGTTGGATTTTTGTAGCTGCAGAGAAGTCCAGTTCACTTTAGTAGAAGTGAAATAAGAAATATGCTGTTTTGGAAGAAAGGATGTTGCACTGGGACCAGAGGAAGTTTCTTCTCCTGTTTTCTGGTGTGTCTGCAGTCATGCATGTGGCGTAGGTATGAGGCTGCAGGTGGGCAGACTCTAGTATCTGCCTCCACAACATGATCTACATTTTTCACTTTACTGTCCTGAAGGAAGATATGCTGAGAGTGCAATAACACAGGGCAAGAATTTCAGGCGCTAGTATAGTTACTTTTTCAGGGTGAATTCGGTGTATGCTTTGACGGTGGTGAAATTTTCCACCTGGTAGTTATATTTTCTATTAAGAACCGAGATCAGAAATAGGGTAAATACTCTATAAATGTTTTTGTGACTCTGTCAATCAAGTGCTTCTGTAGCAGCCTGAAATAGCTGATGCTTGTCTACTGGATTTGAAAAAACCCCAAACCGTTTCCACTGTTTATTGGTTGATATAATGAAGTGTTATCATGAAAGGCCGGTTGTACTTTGTTCAGTGTCCAGCAAAGCTTTTTGTTGGGTCTAGTGATCAAATACTGTTTCTCAAAGTTATTCCCACTGCTGGAGAAGGGTATAATCTCTGAAGATATTTTTAGCATCTAGAGTTCAGGAAAGAACCAGGTGAATATCATTATAGGGGGAAAAAAATGTATATTGCAGTACTGTCTACAGGAAATGAGTGTGTTTGCTGTATTCTGTGAATTGGCAAACTGATCACACTGTATCATCTTAAATCTAATAGGTCGTAGAGTCCGATGAAGCATTAGAAGATGACATACCAGATTCACCTGGGGTGGAAAAACAAGACAGAGAAAAAGAGAAAGAGAATAAAGAAACTAAGAAACTTCGTTGTGAGTTGAAGGTTTTCCATCAATTGATTTTTAGCAATGCCAGTTTTTATTTTTTTGCATCTTCAGTATTACATGTAAATAGAGAAGAATTCAAAAGGACAGCTAGAAATGACACTGCTCAAGTTTGGAAGCAGGCGTTTATATAGCTCATTCTACACCTTGGTGCCAGTTAGTAGCTTTTCTTCCATGTTTTACTGATCACACTTAAAGAGAAAAGAATAAAGAAAGAAAAGTACTAAATGTCTTTAGCTGCTGCATATGGCACATGAAAAACAGGACAAAATAGGTAGTAGTGAAATGGATCCTTTTCAAGGTGTTATTAGATAACTTCTGTGCATTTGATGTTTGTTTTTTCTGACTTTTATAAATGGTTTTGAAGAATTCTTTTGTCCTTTTGCATGTTCAAAACTGATTAGAATTGGTTTTACTTGGTTTTTATCTGTGGTACAGCATCTGTAAATATTTGTACTGTTAACTTAAACTGCAAAGTTGCTGATGATGTTATAGTAGCTCATTTAGAGAAGCTAAACATTTCTAATTGCACCTTCAGAATTTTAGAGCTTAATTTCTTTTTGCTGCAGAAACTTCTTCCTATGCACAGAAATATATTAATCAGACTATTTTCTGTCTTTCGCTTCCAGACCTTATATGTAATTTGCAAGAAAGTATGTATTTCTTTCAAAATAGCTAACTTAAAGGCAAGACCAGTTTTGAAACACAAATATATTCCACATCAGTTCCCTGCATAAGCTACCATTTAGTTACTTTCACAGGCAACACTTGATTTTACAATTTTGGGGTTTTTGTGACAGGGTTGTATCTTGGTGATTTGAAAAATGGATGCCATTTACAAGGAGTTCCAAAAGGTTAAGGAAAAAACTGTGCATGTATTGCAAATTTGAATAGGGTTTTTGAACCTAAATGGTTGGTCCCTTGGCACATAAATGCAGTGCTGGTTCTGTGGATATTGATGGTAAATGCATTTCTCTTTTCAGCAGTGAAAGCACCTAGCAATATCGATTCCACAGATCAGAAGAAGACCAAAACGAAGCTCAAGAAGTTTCTTACACGGCGCCCTACATTACAAGCTGTCCGTGAAAAAGGCTACATTAAGGGTAAATGAACCTTTTTAACAAAGGAAATAATTTGTAAAGCTGAATTTAATGGTTCATGTGTAAAGTGGAGTTTAAAATGGTCTAGTTTTAGAGTAAAACACATGTATGTAGCTGGTGTAACAAACGTCTTGGATGTATAGTGGAACTGGTGACTGATTGTCATTCTCTGAGCACTACTACTAGCCACTAAACTTCACGGAGCACATCCTCTCTTTCAGCTCGTTACTGGCAAAACCACAGTGAAAACTGCGAGCCCAGGAGCCTGTTTGGACTTGGAGTGCTTCTTAGCTAGCAAGTCCATCGGGTCTGCTGTTCTGAGCTGGAAACCTCAGATAGCTGATGCTCTTTGTGCATACAAGGGAAAGAAATGTCCTTTGGGTACAAAGCTGGATGCATGTGCTCATCTGTTTCACAAGGGTGTTTTAGTCTGAGGGGAACCAGGCAATTATGCCATCTCATAAGAAATGAAATGTTTAGGGGAAACCAGACTGAAACTAAAGGAAACTTAAGTTAAACGTCTCTTTTCCCTAACCTTTTTTGAATGTGTACGTTTTTAATTGTTTCACTGGCAGTGAGTCTTACCGATATTCTTGAATCAAACTTATGGAAGAGTTGATTTCCATTTGTCTCACTTGTAGAAACTTTGAGAGAACCGTATTTGTACAGGTTTAAGTTAATGTGTTTGTGTAAGTTACTGACTTGGTACTCACTGTAGAACTTCATTTATTTATTTGTATGCTTTAGCAAGGCTCGTAGGTGGTGCTCTACCAGGGCCAAAATAGCGTATGGGTAGGCAAATACAAGAACAAGTCCGACTATGATTTGCCTAACTCAATAGTTTAACACGTGTGCTTCTGTTGCATGTGGTGTTTGATATATTTGTGTATCTGCAACTATAATTTAACTGTAAAATATGCAGTTTTTGTTTGACATAGGGAGGCATTATTCCCAGACTTGGATGTTTTGCTCTGCTTTACAGCCTAATATTCATGTCGTGGCTCAGTGACCTAACTTCTGTCATTAGCCACAGCGAATGCTAAGCCAAGTTTAATTTGTACATATGCATGGTGATGAGTGGTTCTTTAATAAAGACGTTAAGGAATGAAGAGTTTGTTTTTCTTTAAAAGCATGGTGTAAATTTTAAAAGTTGCATCTGCGCTGTACAGTTTTACATTTACTGTATAAAAGAAAAGTACAGAAGTCTTTATTTAGCCCAGTGTACTTTTGTGGCTGCTACAGAACAAGCTTAGTAAACGGAAAACTTGTCAAAGCCAGTATGAGCAGAAAAAAAATAGTGAAAATTGT